CCCTGGTCTGCATCCCCCCATAGTTAGCATGACAGAAAACATAATGACATTTTGAATGAAACACTGGACGATTGCTGTTGTTACATGCCTTCAAGTCCACTCTGACTTATGGCAACCCTATCATAGAGTTTTCTTGGTTGCTTTTGTTGTTGTTCTGTTTAGAAAGAGAAATAGAGAAAGTCACATCTGATTCAAGACAGTGATTAGCATAGAACAATTTATTTCTGCTAATTTTTATAAGACACCATTAAGAATCTTATAATAACTGTGCTAATTGTGTGAAATGATTTTACCTTAAAAGATATTGTGGGATAGAAAAATTAGTAGTTCTTTTAAACTGCAGAAGCATGACATTTTTCTGCAAGTATTGTTTTTAATATCTCAGCATAGAACAGGGGAGAATAACCTTTTCAGCCCAGAACATCTTATCAGGAATTGGTACAATGTACACATGTATGAATCATTGATCCCAGCTGCTGGCAGGTGTGAGATATGATGTCAGTCAGCACACAGGGGCTGTATCATAGACCTTGGGGGGATGTACCTGGTCCATGGCACGTGGTTTGTGCCACTGTGCACTGAATGAAAGATGTTCTTCTGTTGGTGTAACTCCTTGCACAAGCAGAAGTATGCCAGGTGCTAATGACTGTGTATATCACTACAAGGAACAGAACAATATGACCAGAACTAGCACCTGTGGTCCTTCTGCCAACAATTATTTGGTTCCAACCTTAAGACTATTTTAAAGAATCAACAAAGCTAGCTGATTGTTGTGTTAGCCAGCAAAGGGGAAATAGTAGACACAATGCAATAAATTGAATAGGGATATTCACAGAAATGATTCTATTTATCCCCTCCGGACTCAGTTTCAGTTTCCTGTTTAACTGGAATACTGAGAACTCATTCCTGTCTTAATCTACCCCCATGCCAATTTGTATGTAGTGCAGGAAACACTCTCTAATGGATTATATATTTCTCACTGGGGAAAGGGCTGGGACTGTACTGCTAAAAGACACATGAGATTCTGAAGGGAGATTAGATCAGGACCGCATCTTCTTATATCAGGACCGCATCCACTTTTCCATCCACTGATGGAAAATGGATGGAAAGTGCAGTTTTCCCAAATAGGATGTTAAGACTTCTAATCCCAGAACTACAAAATACAGCATAAGTGAAGTAGTGGTTGCTTTTTCAATCACCAAAGGGAAGCCATTGTGCATTTGCATATGGGACAAGGAAGGGAGCGATTTCATGTTGGTGGTGGAAGATGAAAGTGTATTTCATGTATTCATATGCAGCCCACACAAAACACTAAGCTGCTTTCAGGTCAAGCACAGGGATTCTAGTGTATCCATGGGAAGGGTTCATGCAAAAGATCACAATTTCAGTTCTTGGCATCTCTGGACAGAGCTGGGAAAGTCCTGTATCTAACTGCTGCCAAGCAGTGTAGTATATACTCAATAGATAGGCCAGTAGTCTGACTTTTTATAAATGTATGACCTAACCTATTTTTGTCCCCAAATTGTTGTGCTATGTGGTGCTCAAAAGTCATTTAAAGCTTCCTTATGTGCAAGACTAGAAAGATTGGTCTAGTGAAAATAACCTCATTAAAATACAGATTTTGATGCTGTGTTTTCAGGTGATCTCAACTTAACCATTGTGACTGTCCTTCCAGAAAAGAAAGACTTGTGGCTATCTGAACTAATTGGCAACTATTGCAGTTACTTTCTAGGAGAAATGTCATTATTTTCAAAGTTAATGCAAATCTTTATATCCTCTCCAATCTGACAAGGCTGCCAGAACATATTGTCCCCCACCCAAAATGTTTTACCAAATCTTTCCTAATTGGGAAATATAGTTCACATTCTGTAGACAATGTATAAAAGAATTTTCACTTCCAGATTAGCAAGGATGCTTGCAGTTCAAACCAGTGTTGATCTTCAGCATCAGGCTCTGGTTCTTTGAACCTACCCACAGATTGGACTCTTTTGAAAGTTGTTAAGCAACATTTTCACAGAACAGTATCTTTATACAATCTTGCACTGAACACACAAGGCCTTCTTGGAGTACTGCCTGCTAGTCTACAACAACAACTTGTAGCCTTCATACTGCACAGTGGCCTTCCCAACATGACACTCTCCAGATGTACTGAATTACATCCTCTTTCTTACCTAGTTAGTGTGCCCAGAACTTGATAGAAAATGAACGATATAACCATGTGTTCCAGAATTGAAAAGGCTGTTACACATGCACATTGAATTGTTACTCTGGAAATATCCAGAGTAAGTATTGTTTTAGGTGAGCCAGAGTGGCATAGTGGTTTGAGTGTTAGACTACGATTATGGAGACCAAAGTTCTATTCCCTGCTCAGCCATGAAACTCACTGGGTGACCTTGGGCAAGTCACACACTCAAAGACTCAAGGGAAGGCAATGGCAAGCCTCTTCTGAACAAATCTTGCCAAGAAAAGCTCTTAGAAATGACTTGAAGGCACACAGCAACAACAGTGGTTTTAGGTGACTTTGGGCATTGCATCCAGTCTTAATTGAGGAACTTTAAATAATGAAGGTTGCTGTTGTCATATAATATCTCAGAGTAAGTCTCACTGGATTTAATAGGGCTTACTTCTTGAGTAGAAAGCTATAAGATTGCATTTTAGATCTTCTACCTAAGGCTTCATTTCACTATATTAAATAAGAGTGAAGTTCTGGCTGGACTGTCACTTCACTTCCAGAACTTAGCCTCTTATATTTGCCTTGTTTCTTTTGTTCCTGGGGTGCTTGGCTTGTTAACCAGATGGCAAATCACAGTCTATGAATCTGCAATCTTATAGTCCATTTCAAAGTATAAACGCATGATTGCCTTATAGCCCATAGTAAGGTTCCCAGATCATTACTCTCCTTTATCTGTTGTAATCTACTGAAATTTTCTTCTTGCCTTCCTCTTTTCTACCTCAACTTTTAAAAAAAAATCCCATGTGTTTCCTAGACAGTAGAACACTAGCAAAAAAAGCAGGGGTTCATAGTTGAGCACATGTATTATGAATTCTTGCCCAAACCTACTGTAGTTCAAAATGCTGTGTGAATTATGAGCTTCAACAAATATTGTTATAAACCTCTCTTTTTTTGCAGGGGGGTAGTATCATAGTAATGTGTATACCTTATTGAACAAGTTTTAAGTTTGTTCTTTTTAAATATTTGTAGTAATAAACTGTTCTTGTGTTTCCACAGTCCTCACTTTCAAGTCCTGATTTTTTTGATTCACCAAGTCCTGAAGATGAGAAAGAAGAGCATGCTTCCCTTCCACCCAAAGTAGCTGAGCCATTAAAGAAAGCAAAGACTGTTACAATATCGCTAGTAAGTTATGCAGTCTATTTATGGCAATAGTGAAGGCCAGAATCCCTAGTCCCTTGTACAATTGCAGTGGGACACATGAGCTTTAAATGTAGCACCTGCTTTAAGCAATAGTTGCACCATACCTTCTGTGCATGCTCAGGTATAACCACAACCTACCACTGTCTAGTGCTTGAGCTCCTTTTGCATGCATAGAAGTCCTGAGTGCTGCAGACCCAGTTCTGGCTGGACTGTCACTTCACTTCCAGAACTTAGCCTCTCATATTTGCCTTGTTTCTTTTGTTCCTGGGGTGCTTGGCTTGTTAACCAGATGGCAAATCACGGTCTATGAATCTGCAATCCTATAGTCCATTTCAAAGTATAAACACACAATTGCCTTATTTCCACAATCCTTCTGCTGCCCAGACAATGTGAATGGGAAAATGTCATATACACGTTGATCACACATACTTTTGTGTGTGACTAGCCAGGCACATTCAGGAAGACTATTCTGTGCCCTCATGTAAGGGCTACTATATATTCTAGAACTAGAATAGAAATTTTTAAAAGAGGTGCTGTATTCAGAAAACGAATTATACTTGTTTACTGTGGGATATTCTTTTTTCTGATTGATAATATAAAATGGAATAGCCTTCTCAAAAATGAATACATATCAGCTGTTACTTCAACACAATGAAATTAAGTCATGATAAGAAGAATGGAATATGTGAGCATCTACATATTCTTGTAGAATATCATGTAGGTATCCCCTGGGTGGATAGCATTATTTTGCATAAGGTAGGCTTAAAACAGGTGGGGAATGTGTGGCCTTCCACATGTTGCTAGCCTGCAACTCAGCACCCTAGCCAACATAGCAAAAGATGAGGGATAGTGGACATCTGGAATGCTACCTGTCCCTCATTCTTGATTTAGATTTATTGCATGAGAAAAAAACAAAAACAAAAATGGAATTAGAGAGTGGCACCTATCTTTATGCCTTACCAGATGATGTTATAGCACTTCAGTTCTCTTCCCATGCCTGACTGCTATAAAAGCGCATCTTTTGTCCAACAGATTTTTCAAGCTAGACAAAAGATGCACTTTTAAAACCATCTCCAGCATTAAGAGAACTGAAGCATTACAACATCATACTGTAATTTGAACCCGTTGGTTGAGGTCCTCTTTGACACATTATACATAGCCAACTCTATTAACCAAACACTGAAAATGTTATGATTGCAAAGTGTGATCTCTGCCACTGAGTTATAGTCCATTTTCCTTATAAATAATATTACACTATCATGGCTTTAGAGCTTATCTGTGTTTAGTTGCATTAAAAAAAACAAATATTTTTATGTAGCCTTTGGGGGGGGTTACAAGATATTTTCCCCACTGACCCAGTTTTTGATGGCATTCTTTATGGCCAGTAAAAATAATTCAGAATGAAATAATTTCAACATTATTCTCACTGGTTATGGTTCGTGGTAGGCTTATGTCAGCTTCATGTTAAGATCATTTTGGAAAGACTTAGAGGTGAAACAGATAGGCATAATAAGCCTATTTCTGGGTAGCTTGGGGACATGGCAGTCACATGATTCATGTCCTGAATCCACCACATACCAGAAAAGCTGCTTTCAAAAGGAGTGGTAAAAAACGCTTATTTTCAGAGAGTCGTCTGGGACCTCAGCAGCAAGGTAGATTGTCTATTTGCTGTGGCTCCAGGGCGGCCCCATTCTGCCCTTTTGGGGCACTTTGTTTCATCCCTTATTTCATTTGCTCTAGAAACTTTTTCTGTTTGTTCCATAGCCAACAATAGGAAACACCTGGATGGAGTTCCTTCAGTGTTGCTGCCGAACAGAGAAAAAAACGTAGTTGTGAAATTTGAACTTTTCATTAGGAGTGTTCTAACATTTGTGTGTGATTTTGCTGTCATTTTCCCCATAGGTATCTGATAACAAAGCTACATTACCTGCCAAGCCTGGAGGCTTAACAAGTGGAAGTAATCTTCCATCTTCATTATCATCCTCATCTGCACTTCATCCAGTTACAGCAGGAACAACAGGTCATAGGTCAAATTCTCCATCTTTGTTCATTACTGAAGGAAAGCCAAAGACTGATCACTCCAACCAAGGTGAAGCAGCATTGGAAGAGCTGAGGGCACAAGTTAAGGAGCTACGAACTATCATTGAAACTATGAAAGACCAACAGAAGTGAGCATTAATAAGTCTATTACTTTGTATTGCTGTGGTACTGTGGACTGCCTCTTTCCATTTATGAAACATGTAGTCCATGTCTTGTTCTGTCCATTAATATTTTATGTATTTGTGTGTCTGTTCCTTTCACTTGCAGTGTGTTATGAAATATTTAGAGGAAACTGGAAATGTAGGAAAACATGGTTAGTAGGCCTATACAAGTGAAACCCCACAATAAATAATGGCAGTGGTTTTGTTTTGTTTATTGCATGGGTATGTTATCTGAGCTTGTAATTAAAGGTGTGAAAAAAGAAACGATGTGTTAACAGGATTTGTGTTAACATGCAGAATTTTTTTTAAAATTGAACATTTGAAAATACGACTGTCTGGAAGGAGGTTTAAGGAGGCAATTTTAGTAAACTGACCTTTGCTGCAACCTGAGACATTATCCAAATAGCCTTGGACCTGCCTCTGACCTACACTTGCTCTGCAATGGTATACATTGCAGGGCAGCTATCAGAGATCACTTTGAGCAGTAGGATTATTAATAGTGAACTACACTGCAGGGCTGTTGTATTATTGTTCCCTCAGTCCAATGTGCATTATGGTTGTAAAAGCAATGGATAACATGGCACGGTTTGTTACAAGTTACTCTTTCAAATTCAGTCCCACTCCCATACTGTAATTGCTTTATATAACACTGCATAGTAGTAAACAAATGAGAACCTATACTGCTGTATTTGGTGTGAATTACACTGAAGGGCTGTCATAAGCCATTATCTGAGACTCAGCCCCATTCTAAATTGTAATGTGGGTGGTGAAGTGCTTTATATGTTTCACTACTAGGTTCATATTTTAAATGTTTCACTACTAGGGTCATATTTTAAATGTGTCACACTGAATAAAAACTGGGTTAGAGTAAGGGCCGATACAGACCACCCTAAAGGGATGGCAGAGAGCCGCAGTGGTGGTACGGGACTGCGGCAGCCAGCTGCTGCGGCCCCGATCCTCCCTTTTGCCACCCCTCAAAGAGCATAAAAATGCCGCTACTTTTAGGGGCGGCAAAAGGCCGCCCTTTCAGCCGAGGTGGCGGCTTTTTCACACTGTTTTGGTGCAGCGTGTGCGCTTGATGCGCCAGGAGGGCGTCCTGACTCTGCGTGCCGTGCAAACAGGCATGTGGCATCAGAATACGGTTAGAGTGGAGTTGGGGCAGCTGGCGTGTGGCTGCCCTGCCCCAACTCCACCCCCAGGCTGGCCCTTTAGGCCGGTCTGCAAAGCTCCTAATTAGTTTTATGGGCTCATGCTGAGATTATTTTAGTGTGTGGGATGCCCAATTCTAATTATATGAAAATCACTATTGATTTATAAGGGCAGTTCTCACTCCTGTCCCTGGGTAGAGGGCTTTTAAACATATCTTCCTCAAGCAAACCAGGAAATCATGGGATGGTGCTCTCTATATCATTTTTGTTACATCTCTTTGTTTCTTACTTTACTTAAATGGAGTCATTCCAATTAATCTCTGATATGAATTATGTTCGGTTTTTAGATTAATTACTGCTTAAGTGCAGTTATTTTAAATGTAATTGATTTAATAATGTTTTAGGGGGGGAGGAGGGATTGTTGTTGTTTTAACTTGCTTGTAATTCACAAATTTTATTGTTCACCGCCTAGATTGGTTTTCCACTGGGGCGGTATATAAATAAAATTTATTATTATTATTATTATTATTATTATTATTATTATTATTATTATTATTATTTGAAACATAAATATCCATTCAAAAGCAATAAAAGAAATCGCTCTGGAATTTCAGTGTCTATGCTTAAGCAAAGCGGAGTATGAACTGAATTG